TCTCAAGAAATAAATGGTCAAAGGATATAAACAAACAAGAAGAGATGCAAACTACACATGACAGTATGAAAATATGTTCTATATCATTAATTACTAAGAACAATGCAACTTAAAATAGCTAAGGTTTCGCTCACAGCATGCAAATTGGGAAATGACAAAAAACAGGACTCGTTAAGACTGTGGACACTGCTAACGAGAAGAAAATGCACCTTTCTTCCTTCTTTGAACTGGGGAGGTATGGCTATGGAATACTGCATACACTGTCAGACTCGATGTGTTTGGCTGGCTTGGCTGAGATGTTTTTTCCTCTCCTTTACTGTTTTTTTTTTTAAATAAAAACTGCCTCTCTGGGGAGAGGAGAAGGAAAAATATATTTGGAAATGAAGGTAATGTAAAAATGAAATCTTTTTTCATTAGTAAGCATACAAAAAATGTTGACAGATTATGAGAACAGAAGCACACAAATATATTGTTGGTGGAATTGGGAATTGGTCCAATTATTCGGGATATATTTGGAATTATGCAATTAAAAGTAACTAAGCTGTTCATATCCTTTGACACTACAACTAGGCACATTCCCCAAGGAGTAAAAGACAGAAATAAATATAAGATAGATATACATATAGATACACACACACACACACACACACACACACACACACATACACAGAGGCATCTAGTTAGTTCAGTGGATAGAGCATTCAACTTGCAGTCAAATAGATTTGAGTTCAATCCAGTCTCAGACACTTACTAGCTGTGTGATCCTGGGCAAGTCACTTAATCTGTCTGCCTCAGTTTCCTCATCTGTAAAATGGAGATAACAATAGCACCCACTTTCCAGGGTTGTGTGAAGATCAAGTGAGATATTTTCAAAGCACTATACAAACCTTTAAATTATATATAAAAGCTAGTTATTATTATTATTATTATTATTAACTAAAGCATTTGTGTGAGAACAGCAAATTGTTAAGCAAAGTGGGTACCCCTCAGTTCGGAATAAATGAATGATTGGGAATGTGAATACACAATGGAACATTTTTGTGCAATGGAAATGGTGAATGTCAGGAACTCACAGAAACATGGGAAGATTTGTATGAACTGATGCAGAGTGAAAGAAGTAATGAAGTGAAAAGTGAAAGAACAATATACAGAATGAATATAACATTAAGTAAAAGATCACTTAAGGGAAACCAAACTGAGCAGCTGGAAAAGCAGTAATTGTCCCAAAGAATGCATTCTAAAATATACTCTGCTTTGCACATGCCGCTTGGCCTCATTTCAACTCCACAAAGCAAGATGTTCCATGGCAGGTACCCCCTGGTGTCTCTCCCCAATAGATTGCAAGTTCCTTGAGAGCAGAGACTGTCTTTCTTTTTATTAACTGTATCCCCAAACACAGGGCTTAGCACATAGTAGGTGCTTAATAAATGTTTATTGGATTGGACTAGATACCATCATCCTCTCAGCAAAGAGGCAAGGACCTAAAGGCAAGACAGAAGAAGCAGGAACAATATCCAGGTTTTTTACGTATCTGCTTCTCTTCATTTCAGAAGAAGGCTCAATTTGGAATGGGATGGGAAAGTGTGGTATGTCCAAAAATGGATATTATATAAAAACAAAGATATTAATAAAACTTATTTTTAAAAGATAATAATGCCTGGTACTCAAATTGCTTGGTGGTCCTTTACTTTCATCTCCCTCCAAAGGTCATTTGTTCTCCCTTGATCTCAGCTTCCTCTATAAATTAAGGGGGTAAGGCTAGATCATCTCTAAGGAGACCATACCAGCTCTAGTGGTCACACAGAGATCATGAAATTTAGAACTGTAAGAGATCTTAGAAATCATCTTGCCCAATCCCCTCCTTTTACAGAGGAAGGTCCTGAGATCCAGGGAGACTAAAGGGATGGTGAATGGCAATGTGGGAAGACCACTGGATTTTGAGTCAGCGAACCCTGGAGCCTAATTCTGCCTCTGCACCTTATTAACTGTGAAGTTACCAGCACGTTACATCAAATTTCCTCATCTACAAAACAAAGATAATAATGTCTGTAGTATTTACCTGCAAGTATCTATTAAAGAATCAAATGAGAAAATAAACATACTTTGTAAAACCTAATGGGGTATACAAATATCAGTTGTTGTTGTTGTTATCATCATCATCATTGTTATCTGACTTGCTCAAAGACAACATTGTGCAGTGCAAAAGAATATTGGTTTTGGCATCAGAGGATCTAAGTTAGCCCCCTGCCCATGCCACTTACTGGTGGGGGAAGAGGAGGGCAGGCACGTCATTTCTCTGGGTCTGGTCCCTGATCTGTAAAATGAGGGAATTGGGCTACATGAACTCAAAAGTCATTTCCATCTCTAAATCTATGACACTACAAGCTGAGAGGCTTGCCTCTAAACCCCATGCTCTCTCCCTAAACCACCAGGCCTCTCCACTAAGACTAGATAAGTAGAAAAGGGAATGTGGGAATCCAGGTAATTGAGGGTGCTGGTTATCTATGTTCCAAAGTCATAATATAAACAATGATTGTTTGAGTTCAAAGCCTTAAGGAGCGTATCACAATTACTAGTGTGTCCTATCCATCTGGATAAGAAACTATAGTTACTGAGCACACACCTGTGGTAGTGGGATGAGGAAACCCTGGCCCACAGAGAGAACCATAGACTCAGCTTTGTTCTCTCAGGAAAGGCAGACTTTAGTCCATGTTCTTTTCTGGGTACAAAATGTGCTCCTTGCAGGGCAGCTGGTAGGGAATGAGCTGGCACTTGTTTGGGCACCCTGAACATAAACCAGAAAGGCACCTTACAACTCAGGCAAGAGCAACTACATGAGACTGGCAAGTATGGTAGGTAGGTGGGGAGGTGGAGGGAAAGACAAATACAGATATCATTCATTCATTCATTTGACAAATGTTTATTAATTAAACACCTACTATTTGCAAAACAGCTTGCCAAGCAAGGGGGAAAATACAAAATATAGACAGGATTTAACCCTTACCTTCATTGACCTTATATACTGGCAGGAGAATAAGACAAAATACTACTGATAATGGTAATAACAACTAGCACTTATATGGCACTTTATGGTTTGCAAAGCTTTTTAAACACATTGTTTCATTTGATTTAATAAGCAGTAGAGAGAAGTGAACAGGGTTTTGTTAGGTCCAAGGCAAGAAAGTTCTCACTGCCCCACCAGTATCGATGAAGGATATTCCAGGGAGGACCAGCCACATAATTGCTTTTACTATAAATACAAAAAATATTCTTCAAAAAGGACTTTCTCCAACGAGCCAAAGTAGATAGAGTCTAGTAATGCAGTGATCCTACAGGCTTAATATTAGGATATTACGAGGGACTGCTGCTTTACTGCTTTTGTGCTACAACATCAAGTTCTTTACATTTTTGGTATCTGGGTGGTAGTAGGGAAACAGGTGCAGAAAGAGGCCAGCTGATGTACTTTGTAGCTTCCCTGACCTACGAGGACCTGGATTTCATACTTCACATCCTCTCTCCATACTTAGATCCTATAATCCCTAAGGCCTCAGGCTTACGGGAACAGAAATTAGATCACTCCCCTGATTGAGAATTCCTGCAGGGGTAAAGACTCTCCTCCAGAATTCCTGAATGAAAGAGGCTGGTCTTGAAAAGAAACAGAAGCAAAGTAAATGAAGCACTTTCACAGAATATGTTTCAGAAGATTCCAAACAACCCTGGAATCTCCCCATGACCAATTTGCCAAGAGCAGGATAGGGAGCACATACTAAACTATTCATTCTCTAGTGTGTTGTCAGATTTCAGTGCATCAAGTCAGTCACCCCATTCCTGTCAGCCCCTGGTTCTTAGCCCCCTCACCATCTCAGTCCCAGATGGAGACAACAGAGACCTGGCCTGTCCTCCTGCCCAGAGAGGTCTCTAATATATCTCTGCCCCAACCCACTCTGGATACGGTAAAGAAAGGAATTTCCCCCTTTGGGTTAAGCATCTCCAGAAATGGCTACTCTATGCTCTCTGAATCCACTTGCAATATCTGGAAACCTAGAACTGGAAAGTTCTTCCACAGAGTTAATTAATATCCACCCATCCTAGTACTGCTCCATTTCCTCTTAATCCACTCCACGGGAAGGTAGTGTTCACCATCCTTCAGAGCCAGAACATCTGTCTGAGAATAGGACTAAGTAGACATTTGCCACATGAGTTAGTATCAACGTCTGACCCATACCCCCTACAGACAGACCCTGCCTCCCCCCTGTTCACACTCCTAATGGAGGCCTGTTTTCTCTCCCTGGCCCTGGAGCGTTGTACCAGAGCTGCCCAGCAGTCAGTGCTATTGAGTCAGGTCTGACCTTCCTTAAAGAACCCAAGGGAAGGAAGTTTTCTTGTAACCCAGCCGCAACAAATTAACTTCTGGATAAGAAGCAACAGAATGTGCTTTCCCCTCAGCCACGAGAACTTACTAGAGCGCTTTCCTTGTTTTCTTAAGTTAAAACTCACAGAAAGGTGACTGTAACAGGCATAAAGAGGCAATTGGAGGGGGGAGGGGTCACAATACGTCTGCTCTTGGTGTTTATGAATATGAAAACTAACATGGGGAAGAAGGTAGAGGCCACAGGCCAGCCCTTACTGATATACGCAAAGTCCAAGAGACAGCCGGGACTCTTATTCCCTCTCATTCAATTATGACATTCCCTGATTTTAAACTGCCCGATCATTCTAAAAAGCTCAGCTACTGCTAAGCAACCCAGTGAAGTTCTCCCTCGGCTTGCTAGCCTATGGCTGGAGGGTTTCAGCTCTGCCTGGCCAATTGATGTAAACAACATGTCCCAAGAATTTTAACTGCCGTTTTTATTAATGGCCACTCCATTACCATCACACAGAATGGGCTCTGCCAGGGCAGGGACGCCTTCTAATCACCAACCAACAAAATCCACATAAACCCAGTCCGTTGCCTCAGAGGTTAAAGATTAAACAGGACCTTGGAAATGAGGATAATGAAGTATTGCAGACTGGCCTAATCATACAAACCTACTTAGAAGAAACACAGGGTCCATTTCCCTCCTCTGGCCAGAACCATAGGGCCTGTCAGAAGAGCTGCCTTCCAGAATTGGGAAAGCACAGGGACAAAGCACCAGAGCTTTAAGCTGCTACTGGTTAAAAGGACACTCACAGAAATAGCTATTATTTACAAGTAATGACACCCAGAAAATGAACAGAAGTAGCTGAAGAGAAAGCCGGAAGAAGTCCTAAATCTGAGGCTGAAAGAGACTTGGGAAGTCATCTAGTCCAATGCCCTCATTTTATAGAAGCACTGGAGGTGATTTGCTCAAGACCACACAGGTGGGATCTGAATTCACTTTCTTTCATTCCAAAACCAGGGCTCTTTCCACTATACCACCTACCTCTAAAAGAGGAGGGAGAGGAGAGGAGGAGGGGAGTAGAAGGTGATATCCCAAACAGAAAACCAAAAAATCAAATGCAGGAAAAGGAAATTATGGCAATTCTACCTCCACCCCCAGAGTTGGAGACATGTCACAACTGAGAAGCTAATCAGAGAAGAAAAGAAGAGGTAAAGGAAAAGGGAACTCAGAAGGGGCCTCGCCCAGCCCTGGGCTTGGTGGTGTCCAACCTGTGGAACTGTCTACTTGGTAAGTCCAACTAAGGGAAACACATCTGAAGCCCTGGCCCCTTCACCTGGCATATAGCTAGGCTTACAGTGAGAGGTCAGACTGGCCCATCTCCAAGTTCCTCTGAGTTCTGAAAATGCTACTCCACAATTCTAAGATTTTTGCCTGAAATCAGGAAATCAACCAATGCTTTTCAATACTGTTCTCAGTTTCCCTGCAGCAAAGTAAGGATTCCTGGTATGGCCCTGGGTTCAATGATCATGTACTAATAATGATGTCCCTGATTAGAAATGCTTTCCTAGCCACCAGCTCACGCGACTCAGAAAATGTGGGTAAATGTCTTTTCTTTACTTCAGGTATACAGCAAAGCAAGCAGCAGCTGAGGGAGGACTGACTGACTGCCTTCTCAGCCTAGTTCAGCCACTCTACCTGGACTCATGATATAGAATTCCCTTCCCAATAAGTGCTGTAAGATCAGCACTCATTGGCATTCAGAGATGGACAAGATAACTTTTCTTTAAAAACAAAATCCATAAAAGATGCTGCTGTTTATGGTAAATGCAGTCTAGGAAACAAAGATTTCCTCCCACAGGCACAGGGACAACAGAGGCCCTGAACCCTAAAAAGGTTGCTTCAAGGTCTTCACACTCTATTGATCAAGCCTGAGAAAACCAAGGAAGGGTGAAACAGGCGGCTGAACAGCTGTTTGGGAACGAACATGGATTGGGGGTAGAGAGCGGGGAGGGAACTTGGCAGAAACGTTCCCAAACCCCCATTCTTTATTTAAAATGTTATTGATGTCTTTTTTTCTATCATTTTCATTTCTAAATCTCTCTTCCTACTCTTCAAGCCATCCTCTGAAAGTATAAAAAGGAAAGAGAAAAAAAGTTCAACAAAACTAACCAGGACACAAACTGAGTCTGACAATGTATAATGTTCCATAGCCAAAGTCCTCCACCTTTGCAAAAAGGGGAAGGGATTACATTTTCTCATTTTTTCTCAGGGCCAAGCTCAGTCATTATAATCACACAATATTCCAAACCTCAGTTCTACTGAAGAATGACTCTGACCCTTCCTAAGTGGCTGTCCTACCACATGCCTCAATGTTTGCCAGGTTTTTTTGGCCGGCTTGGATAAAATCCCCAGCAATGAAAGCACAAAAAATATCAACTCAACCTTAAAACACCTCCTACTCTGAAGAGCCACTGATTCACAGGGTCAGCTCATTCTGATAATTCCTGGTGCCCAGGCTTCTTACGCACGTATACAAGAACCACCAATGGGCACAGATCACCCAGTGCACTGGCACTGTCTACTGACATGTCACTCAGTGACTAAATAGGCACAGAGGCCACTGGTACAGTCATAGGATCCATCCAACAGCTCAACCAGAGCTGGAGAAGTCTTTTGAAAGGATGGGCTTCTTGAAAGGCAAAACCTTAGGAGTCCTCTGGGGGAATAACAGAACTGACTTTCTCCCCTACCAACCCTTGGGAGCTAAGAGACATTTATTTGTAGATAAGAAAAGAAGGGCCCAAAGCCCAAATCTCACAGGAAGTAAGTAGAATTGCTAGGATTTGAACCCAGGTCCTGTGACTCCCAACCAAATGCTCTTTCCACTGTACCACACTGCAAAGAACACTAGTGTAAAATGAAGCAAAAGACAAGAAGAAGAAGGAGAGGAAAGATGGAATAGTTAGCAAAGCAGAGTGTACTTCCTCCCATTTCTATAGGAGATTCTCAAAATCAGCTCATGAACTAGGGGAAAGGGGAAGAATTTAATAACCTGTGTTTGGGAGAAGACAGTGATAACAGTAGTAGTAATAATAATAATAATAATAATAATAATAATAATAATAATAATGATGATGATGGAGAACAGATTAATAGATGGAAAAATAAAATGACCACATTTATATAGGACTTTTGTTTGAAAATCTCTTTATATACATTATCTCATTTAATCCTTTTATCACCATCCCCATTTCACAGATAAAGAAACTGAAGGTTCATAGGGGTTAAGTGTTTGCCCAGGATTTCACAGCCAATAAGTGTCTGAGACAAAATGTGAACTCAGGTCTTCCTGTCTCCCAGTCCAGTGTTCTATCCATTGACATCTCCAGATTAAAGTAGCAGGATCAGGTGTCCAACAAAGCATCCCCTCCTTGTTATTCTGAATACAATGCTCTTCACACCAAGCCCCATCTTCTGCCTATTTTTCTAGAGCTTCCCCACCAACCATAACCACCTGAGGAGAGTCAGAAAGACCCAGGTATGGACACTAAGAGCTGATGAGGAGAGGGAGGAGTGACCCAAGGCTATATTGCTTCAAGGAAAACAAAGCAACGTGATACACCTGGTGTGCTAGGAGGACATGGAGTACAGGTAGGAAATAGAAGGGACACAAGAGAACAGTTTTTAGAAAAAGTAAAGGAAATCGTGTAAAATTCTTGGCTACAAATAGAACAAAACCTCCACGGATGTTTGTGTCAAAACCCAGCTCAAATCCCTGCTCCTCCAGGAAGTCACCTAAGAGTGTCTAGGCCAAAGCAATCTTCTCCTTCTCAATTCCTGAAGCACTTACTTGGTAATTCTTGCTCTGTCTTTGCAATGTCACATGCATTGTTTTCATCAAAATGTTATTTATCAGGAAATTACCAAAGACATAACAGATAACTTTGATTACATGAAACTGAAAAGTTTCTGCACGGATCAAATCAATGCCCCTAGGAAAGGTAAAGAAGTAGTCCAACAGAAAAAAAAATCCTTATGTCAAATTATCTGATAAGGGCTTGATACTCACAATATATAAATGTGACCAAAAGTTAATCCTCAATAGATTAGTAAAGGATAGAAACAATTTTTAAAAGAAGAATTGTAAACTATTACCAACCACACAAAAGAATATTCCAAATCCCTAATAATAAGAGAAATGCAAACCAAAACAACCCTGAGGTTTTACCTCATACTCTACAAATTGGCAAAAATGACAGAGGATGGTAATAGTCCATGTTGGGCTGAAGACAAGCACACTGGTGTACTGTTAGTGGAGCTCTGAATCAGTATAACCATTTTGGAAGGCAGTTTAGATTATGCAGATAAAGTGATTAAAACATCCATTCCTTTTGGCCCAGAGATTCCATTACTGGGCTTGTACCCCAAGGGGGGCCATTGAAAGAAGTAAGTCCCCATACACATCAAAATATTTTTGGCAGCATTTTTTTATGATAGCAAGAATTGGAAACAAAGTAGATGCCCAATAATTGGAGAGTGGCTAAACAATTGTGGTACATGGATGTAATCAAATATTATTGTACTATGAGAAACGTTGAACGTGACTAATACAAAGAAGCATAGAAAGATGGACATGAACTGATGAAGTGTGATGTAAGCAGATGAAATAATATACCCAAAGACTACAGCAATATAAATGGAAAGTACAACCACACACACACACACAAAATCAAAAGTCAACGTTGCAAAATTTTAATGAACAAACATGGCTCGAAAGAAGAGAGAGAGATGGGAGGGCACCAGAGGTAAAAAAATCTGTACTATACATTACACGTATTTTCAGACTTTTTCAATGTTATCCTGATTTTTTATCTTGATTTTTCCCACTTCTTTTTGTCTTTAAAAACCATGATCCACTGTATGGAATACGCACAGTGAACAGAGCACCGGACATGGAGTCAGGAGGACCTGAGTTCAAATCTGGCCTCAGACACATAACACTCACTAGCTGTGTGAGCCTGGGCAAGTCACTTAACCCCAATTGCCTCACCAAAAAAAAAAAAGATATTAATAAAAATGTTTTAAAAGAGGAAATGTCATCTATCTCACATTCTATTAACTGTCACATATTTATGCCATATTTCCTTCAAAAGAAGCTCGCTTGGGGAAGAGACTAAGTTCCACACTTTCCCTGAATACCCCACAACACCTTGTTGGTTACATGGTAGGGGCTCAGTAAATACTCGGTGGTTGACCACAAAAAATTAATGACAGCACCCTCTTCCCTCCCTTCCTCAGAGCTCCCCATTACCTGCATAAGCATTGGCCTGCTGTAGGAGTTCCGTGCAGGTGTGCACATCTGCAAATGCTCTGATGCCAAGGCAGTTGGTGGGATGTAACTGAGACTGGAGAAAATCACAGCAATTTTGCCGGACATCCATTAGTTGTAACAAACTGGCTGCCGGCAGCAGCACCTGAAGGGAAGAAATAAAGGTTGCCAACTGAAAGACCTGAGGTGGACTCCTGGGATCTCCCAGACCCCGAGAGAGAATGAGAGCAATAAAATAAAAGCCCCCAACTCTCTTCCTGGCTCTCATCTGGGCCAGGAGCAAAGGAACACACCAACCAGTACTCTGGGCCCAAAGCTGCCTTCTTCTCCTGTTCTTCCTCCATTTAGGGCACACAGGGCAGGGGGAAAACTGCATAAACGCTGAGAATATTCTCAAATCAAGGGGCCTGGCCCAGGAGTAGGACATACTGACACTTACCTACCTTATAAAGGTGCTACCTTATAAAGCAGATTTTTTTAACCCAGAAAAAGACCATGCTGACTATAATGTCCATCCCCTTTGAAGCAGAGACCCCACTGCTAAGCAAGGAAGTCAAAGATTGAAAGAAAAATCTTATAAATAACAAAATATTCCTAGCATCATTTTTCATGGTAGTGAGGAACTGGAAATAAAGTGGATGCCCATCGATTGGGGAATAGCTAACAGAGACAATAAATGACATGAGGTAATGGACTATTACTAGTGCATTAATAAAGAATAGATATGAAGAATTCAAAGGGAAGACATATGAATTGATGTGGCCAAGTAAAGCAAGCCGGGCTAAGAAATCAATATATACAATAGCTACAACAAGGTAAATGGAGAAGACAACAACAAACAAACAAAGAAAAACTTCCACTAAATTATATATAATTATAACAACCAAATTTGGCCCCAGAATAGAAATGAAAGAATGCGTCTTCTTTCCCTTCTTTGAAGAGGTGGGGGATTATGGACGCAGAACACTGTATAATATGCTGTCATACTCAGTGGATGTTCTGATTAATTTTGCTGAACTGCCTTTTTTCTCTTTATTTTTTATTCTTTGCCGGATAGGAGAGGGATATATTTGGAAATGAAGGTGATATAAAAATATATCAATAAAAATAGCAAAGGGGACCACTTTTTCAGGTTTTAAGCAATACACACCCAAAGGAAAATTGAGAAATATGAGGCAAAACTCAGCTTCCGTGGGGATTGGGCAGGCCAGCCATGGCCTTCTCAGACTTCCAAGATCCCAAAGTCCCATGTTTCCTCCCATGCTGCCTCACTCTTGCCCATCTTCCACCTAGCTAATCATCTTCCTAAAGTTCCCTTCATTTCCAAAGAGCAGCTATTCTCCTCTGATAACAACATCTTTATTTCTGGGCTGGTGATCTATGGGCTGTTTCATTAACACCTGGAAGCTCTAACTGAGGTCAGCCAACTGTTTCCATCTAGGAGGGCTCTGATTATGAAAACACCTCTTTGACGGATTTATTTCCTCAGGTCACAGCACCATTTATTTTTGAACTCATTCAAATCCTGGCCATTGGCTGTTGCCTCAAATCACCCCGACCTGCCTCTCATCTGGGCAGTTCAGGCACTTAGCTCCCTGACAGATACCTGACCTCTGACCCAAGAGGAAACGATCCCTTTTTCCTTCCTTATCAGAAGCTTCCAGCTATTTAAGGCACACATTTTTTAAAAAATTTTTATTCATTCTGAATTTAAATGCAAAAAGAAAAAAAGAGAACATTCCCATGTACACAGCACAACATAAAAAGAAGATTCAATAAAAAGCCATGAATTTCCATTTCATGCTGCTTGCTTTTTTTCAAACTATGTGATACATATTGTGCATCATTTTCAAAACTACCCTGCTTTTCTATGCTTCCTTCTAAGTTTTCTTTTGTTCTCTGCTGTGCACTTGTTTTTATCAGTTCTTTCTCTGGATGTGAATAGCATCTTCCTTCATAGGTCCTTTGTAGTCGATTTTAGTATTTATAACACTCAAAACGACTCAGTTGTTCAAAGTTGTTCTTAGAACAATAGTGCTATTACTATATACTATGTTCTCTTGGTTTGCTCATTTCACTCTTCATTATTTCATGCAAGTCTTTCCATGTTTTTCTAAAATCAACCAGCTCATCATATCTTATAGCACAGCAGTATTCCATCACAATCATACATCACAACTTGCTTAGCCAATTGATGGGCATTTCCTCAATTTCCAGTTCTTTACCACCACAAAGAGCTGCTATAAATATTTCAGAACATATAGGTTCTTTTCCTTTTTCCCTAATCACCTTGGGAAACAGACCTACTAGTGATATTGCTGGGTCAAAGGGTATGTACACAGCTTTATAACTCTTTGGGCATAATTCCAGATTACTTTCCAAAATGGTCGGATCAGTTCATAGTTCCACCAACAGTGAATTAGTGTCCCAATTTTTCCACATCCCCTCCAACATTTGTCACTTTCCCCTTCTATCATTTTAGTCAATCTGATAGGTGTAAGACGATATCTCAAAGTTGTTTTAATTTACATTTCTCTAATCAATAGTGATTTAGAGCATTTTTTCATGTTTACAGTTTTGATTTCTTTGTCAAAAAACTGCCTATTCATATCCTTTGACCATTCGTCAATGGAGGAAGTGACTCGTAGTCTCACAGATTTGACAAAGTTCTTTACATATTTGAGATGAGGCCCTTATCTGAAAAACTGTCTATAAAATTTTCTCCTAATTTTCTATTTTCCTTCTAATCTTGGCTAAAATGGTTTTGTTTGTACAAAACCTTTTCAATTTAATATAATCAAAATTATCCATTTTCCACTTCACAATGCTTTCTACCTCTTGTTTATTCATAAATTGTTCTCCTACCCGTAAGTGAGATAGGTAACATGTTTTATGTTCTTCTAAATTTCTTATGATATCTCCCTTTATATCTAGGTCATATACCCATTCTGATCTTATTTTGGTAAATAATGTAAGATATTGATCTATGCCCAATTTCTGCCAGACTTCTAGTTTTCCCAACAATTTTTACCAAATAATAAATTCTTATCCCAAAAGTTTAAATCTTTTTATTTGTCAAACACAAGGTTACTGTAATCATTTGCTACTGTGTATTGTATGTCTGCTCTGTTCCACTGATCTACCTTTTCTGTTTCTTAGCCAGTACCAGATAGTTTTGTTTCTTGTTTTTTGTTTTTCATAATTACTGTCTTAAGATCTGGTACTGCTAAACATCCTTCCTTTACACTCTTTTTCATTATTTCCTTTGCTATTCTTGACCCAAGGCACTACTTTCTCAGTGTTTACCTTAATTAAGCCAAGCACAGGCTCCTTTCACATATCACCTGCTCCTAAAGTAAGGTGTTTAGGCTCCCAGGAAATCCTAAACACCAGGTAGAGCATCTCCCTCACTGTCCTGCGGTTATGCCTATAGAGGCAGTGCAAATAAAGGAGAGAGTGCTGGCCTTTGGAGAGACATGGATTCATATCCAGCCTCTGACACTTACTCGTCCAGTAATTCTCAGCCAGCCTCTGAGCCTCACAGACTCAGTTTCCTCATCTGTAAAATGGCAATAACAGGGCCTACATTACAGGGTTTTTGTGAGTATCAAATGAGATTCAGTATGCAAAGTGCTTTGCAAACCTCAAAGTGGTTTCCAGCTGTTGTTTTAGCGGTCATACAGCAGTCTCCTCTGCCTTTGCCCCCTTCTCCCTCTCCTTTTCCCCTGTGCCCCAGCAGGATAGCCATCAATCAGCAGTGTGTCCTTGGGTTTTTCCTAAGTCGCTGATCCATTCCAAGTGGACACAGCCAGTCATGGAATCTGCCTCCCAACCCCCACCAACCATTCCATCCCCACCAGGCAGCCATAAAACAGGAAACTCAATTAACCTGTAGGCTTGCTCAGCCTGGACACAGATTCCAAGAACAGATTAGTCTTCAGTCCTGCTGGCTAAGCTGGGATATCATTAACTATTCCTACCCCTTTTGTACAAACAGGCACACACGTGCATGCACAGAGGGGATGGGAAATCCATCTTGTTCCAAGCCCCAGAATTGTAACCACCAAGATATTTCTCCTTGATTTGGGGTATGACAGAAACAAAACTGGGCAAATCCACTTATTCTCACTAAGATAGCAATGCCCGTAAATCACTGAAAAGTAGAACAAGAACAACCTACCTTATGACACAATAAAGCTTGAGAACAGGTAAGAAGGGCGTGGAAGGAAGTGTGAAGGGATGACCTGCTGTCATTCAGAAGGTAGCATGGTGGAAAGAAAAAGGTGGGAGACCTAGAGTCCAATCCAGACTCTACCCTCTTTTGATTGTATTATCTTCAGCAGATCAGTTCAACTCTCTGACCCTTTGTTTACTCATCCATAAAATGGGGGTAATCTTACCTGCCTGGCAGCGAACTCCTGATGTCTTTTGGACAAGGACCAGCCTAGCTAAGTTCAGAAAGGCTCTTTACTAGGTTGGCCACAGAGGTAGGAAATTTTCAGCCACAACAACTTTTGAAGACAAGAGGAATGAGTTGCCACAGACATCCGTGGAAGGAGCACCCAGACCAACAACATCCCAGAGGGAAGGTCATACTTCAAGGACCTCTGATTTTGTTGGTGTGGGGGTTCCCCTGGTAGACAGTCTTCAAGTGCGTCCTCACATCTGTACCAAACGTGTGTAAAAAGCACTTTAAAATCAAGTCTTATGTAAAGGTAAAAATGCATTATTGTTAAGAGTATTCTTATTATTAAATGATCATTTCACCAAATGGTCTTGTCTGTCACTGACCTACATTCAAAAGACCACCTAAAAGTACCCGAGGGGTACTTTTTTCTCATTTTTCTATCTGTATCCATAGCACCCAGCACAGCAAAGCAGGCATGGTAGAGTGGAAAGAGTACTAGAACTGGGTTCAATTCTTCCTCAATGCATGAACTTGGAAGTCATAACTTCCCTGGGCCTCAGTTTACTCATTTACAAAATGAGGGAGTTGGACTTATATGGCTTCTGAGATTGTCCTAGACGAATGATCCTATGATCAATACCTGCTACATTTTGTTGTTTAGTCATTTTTCAATTGTGTCCGACTCTTCGTGACCCCATTAGGGGTTTTCTTTGCAAAGATACTAAAGTGGTTTGCCA